CAGCTCTGGCTGCCCGCCGCCCCTCGCCCCGCAGGCGATGCTCCGCAGCAGCCAGCCGCTGACGGGCCCCAACCGAAAGCGCTGCCGCGAGGACGAGGTGCTGCTGGGAACGGTCCTGGATGAGGGCGAGCGGGGTTTTATCATCGACACGCGGTCGGCCCAGGCGGCGAAGCAGGCACGGATGACAGGGGGGGGCACGGAGCCCAAATCCTCCTACCCGCAGTGGAGGAGGCTGCACCGGCCCCTGGAGAGGTGAGGGGCTGTGCTGAGACCTGCCGCTCTCACGACACGGGTGATCACCCCATCCTGCCAACAGCACGGGGATTCCAGCTCCCCCTAAAAAACTCGCCAAGCGCCTCACGCTGCTTTCTGCCACCCCAGAGGCCGCCAGCTGCAGGAGAGTTTTATTAAGCTGGTGGACGCCTGCAACGACACCACAATCAACATGGACCGGTGGCTGAACCGCCTGGAGAGCTGCCGCTGGCTGAGCCACGTCAAGGCAGCCCTGAGCACGGCCTGCCTGGCCGCACAGTGCATGGACAGGTAAGGGTTGGGGGGTGATGCCCCGCTTCCCCTCCCCTTTCAACGCTTTCCCAAACCTCAGGCATCGCCCTGGGACCGCCCGCAGGGAGGAGGCCAACGTGCTGGTGCACGGGGCGGAAGGGACGGACACGACCCTGCTGGTGACGGCGCTGGCCCAGGTGATCCTGGACCCGTCCTGCCGCACGCTGGCGGGTTTCCAGGGGCTGCTGGAGCGGGAGTGGATCGAGGTGAGAGCAGCAGTTGTGAGGGCAACGGGGATCCCAGCCGGGCAGGGCAAGCCCTGAGCTCCCCTTCACCCCAATTCCCCCTGGGGGGTCCCCACAGGCCGGTCACCCCTTCCACCTCCGCTGCGCCCACTCTGCCTACTCCCACGCCCGGCTGAAGCAGGAGGCGCCGCTTTTCCTCCTCTTCCTCGACTGCGTGTGGCAGCTGAGCCGGCAGTTCCCCTTCTCCTTGGAGTTCAGCGAGCGCCTCCTCCTCACCCTCTTTGACAACGCCTATGCCTCCGCCTACGGCACCTTCCTCTGCAACAACGAGAAGGAGAGGCAAGTTGGGGGATGGAGGGGCTGCCCCCACCTTCCCGCTGCCCTCCCGGTCACAGCTTGGGTCAAACTCAGCCTCACAATCCCTGGCAGGGAACTGAAACGCGTCTCGACTCTCCTGTAGGTGCCTGTGTAAAGTGAAGGAGAACACGCACTCCCTCTGGGCGTGGCTGAACCAGCCTGGGGAGAGGCAGAAGTACCTGAACCCTCTCTACTCGCCCAACGCCCTGGTTATCTGGCCCTCGGTTGAGCCCCAGAGCATCCAGCTCTGGCAAGGTGAGTCCTATATTCTTCAGGCCCAGCCTCAGCTCTGAGCTGGGCTGGCGGAGGGAAAGCTGCTCTGCTTTTCCCTCTCTTGACAAGGCTACGGCACAGCTGAAGTAAGTCACAGCCCCTTCCCTGCTCAAAGAAGTCACAGCCCCTTCTCTCCTAGGTTTATTCTTCCGCTGGATCCGTTCATCCCAGTACCTGGATGAGGCCTGGGCAGAGATCCAGTGGTTAGTAGAGGGCAGCGAGCCCCCCAAGGACAGCGCAGGGAACAGGCTGAGCCGGTCCCTCTCTGACCCCACTGCCCGACCGGAGAATGCAAGATGAAGGGCAGCGTGAGGAACTGGGTCCCCGCGGGCTGCCGGGCCAAGGCGACGCCGTGGGAAGCGCTGTGCAGGACACAGGCCCCACAGAGCCAGAGGACAGCTCTGGGAGGGGGGCACAGCCCCCCTTTCGCAGCCTCGGGGCTGGGCAGCCTGAGGTTTCAGTAAAGCGCACTCTCTCGCAGCTCACATCTGCGTTTCTGCTCTTGTGTAGGGGCAGGAGCAGCCGCGCTCCCACTCTCCTCCCCAGTGCTCTACCTGGACCCTGTACCTGGACCCTCGGGGGAGCAGAAGCACAGGGGGAGGTTGATGTGCCCAGCAGCAATCACCCCCCCGAAGCTCCCACCACAGCACACCCGGCCCAGGGAAAACTAAGCAGCAAAACACACTAAAATCTCAACAACCTCTCCACTAAGGGCACACTGGCTGCAGTTTAAGCGTTGCGTCAGTCGCTCCCAGCTGGGAGCCAGCCCAGGAAATCTGCCCTTGAACCCAGTTTCGAGGAAGGAAAAAGATAGAAACCACCCCTCGAGACAGACAGACACAGGGTGAGAGGGCTGGAAGGATGAGGATTTGCAGCACAAGTGTCCTAGCGCAGGAAATAACTGTTCCATGAGGAAAGTTGGCTCAGGGTCAGCCCAGCAAATAAACAAAAAGCACCAGAACTGGGTGTGTGTGTGTGTGTGTCAGCTGGAAAACAATGACTGGCTGCTGCGTTTCCAGCCTGTAACGGGCCAGACCTGAAGCAGAGCTGCTGCTCCTCCCAGGAAAGGGTTAACCCGGGGTGGACAGAGGCCCCAGGAGCCACAGCACTGCTGGTTGCCCAGGGGTGGGGAGCCAGGCATGGCCAACAAAGCAAAGCACTCAGGATAATTTTGTTCCAAAATGAGGAAAAAAAAAACCACAACCAAACAACAAACAAACCAAAACCACCCCACAGCGGTGCTTTTCCTTGTGTTTATAAGATTTCTATTTATTTCCTGATGATGTTTTTTTCTCCCCCCCTGTATAAATATGCCCAGCGGGGTAGGAAGCTCACATGGCCAGGGGCAGGCAGGCAGCCAACCCAACTCCCTTCCTTGCCTTCACTCCTTTCCCCCTGTGAAAGCCAGTCTTGCCCTTTTGAGGCGGTTGGATTTCTTGTTCCCCACCTTCACAAAGCCCCTGAATTTGTTGCTAACCGCCTCCCGCTGCCTCCTGCAGAGCGGACTAACTTCAGGCCTTACAACAGTTCTACGCAGGAGCCGACGGACTGGGCAGTGGATTGGAGGAGGAGAGAAGAGGAGAGGAAGTCTTCGTTTAAGCTTCAAATTCAAACTCAAAGTACTGGGGATCGAAGTAGTGGATGCGAACGTAGCCATCCTCACCCCCACTGCTGTAACTGTACAGGAGGAAAGACAAAAGTCACCAGTATTGTCAGGAGCTCACTGCCTCTAGGTTTACACCAAACAGTTCTCACAACCTCCTCCAGAAACTACTAAAGGAGTCACGAGAGGAAAAAAAAAAAAAAGTATCAGTGACACAGCTAAAATGTGCAGCAGGACGTAAGTGAACCCCCGGGCCAAACGGGGGAGGCAGCAGGGCTTGGATGGGAGAATTAAGGAAGGTGCTGGCTCTGTTCCCACTGCAGAGCTCCTTGAGCCCAGCCATACCCGAACCAAGGGGGGTTAGGCTTGACTGGGGCACACTGCAAGACCCACAGAGATCCTCACCTCTTCCCGTCAGGGTGAAAAGCAACGCTGTTTATGGGACCGAAGTGACCCTTCACTCTGCCAAACTCTTCTTCAAAAGCCAAGTGGAAGAACCTGGGAGAAGGAAGATGATTTAATTTATCACAAGAAGTCAGGAGCCTGGTTAGGGACACAGTCAGGGTTTCCTCAAAAAAATTTCTGCAAGTTTAAAACTCCTCCAACACTGCTCTGGGAAGAGCATCCCAGGGCTGTCAGGAGTCCTCCCGGTAAGGACTTGGCCCTGCCAGAGGAAAAGGACCAACCTGGCCTCAAATTTGCCAATCCTGGTAGAGGTCGTGGTCACATCCATGGCCTCCTGCCCACCACCGAGCACGACCTGCCAAGGAGAGAAGCCACAACACTTCAGTGCTGCTTACACCACGCGCCCAGCAGCAGCAGGGAGAGGAAATAGCCAAGCCTTGGGGAATCCTCCTCCTAAGCCAGCAGATCCCACAAACTCATGAGCAGGCCTGACTCCAGCCCCGGAGCAGTTCCCACCTCCCAGACACACTCATTTGAAAATCTGAGGACACAAAGCCACATTCCCTGCACCAGACTGCAGTAAAGTTCCCCAGACCCACCCTGCAGTCATGTTTTTTAGGTGGACTGTTTTTTTAGGTGGACTTTAGCTACCTGGGACAACACGGGGTCACAGTAAAACCGTTACAAACTCATTCTTACGTGATCAAAAATGGGGGAGAGTGCAGCAGAGTTCACTGGTCGTTCTGTCCGGAATGTCTTCAAATGCTCAAGTGTCGTGCAATCAAATAGCTAGGAGGCAAAAGGGAGAGAGTTGTTCTGCAAGAGGGCTGCCAGCACAATTACCTCACACAAATCTAGCTGCTAGGCCTCACCCAGGCAGATGTTAGCCCTGCAGACACTCATGGGCACCCAAATCTCAAATACATTCCCCCAGAGTCCCAAAATACTGGCCTAAGGTAAATCTCACCTCTACCACCTTCCAGATACAGCAAAGTACACATATATTTTGGCAACGGGGTTTCAAATGCCTGGTCACTAATATGGCACCTCTTCTTTCTCCCTGAGCTTTCCCACTAAGCTTTGACTTTCCGCTTGCTCAAATTTCTAAGGAGCAAACCTCTGTGATAGCCACGGCTCTGAGCAGAGGTCCTGGCAACCAAACATTAACAGTCTGCTGTGTTTCCAACGAGAGGCCTCACCTTGGCTGTGTTGTCCTTGGAGGCAGTGATGAACATGGTCATGTCCCTGGAGGTCTGAATATCGTTGATTTGCTTGGTGTGTTCCTTGATGTTTGAAAGCTGCTCCCCTGACTGAAGGGTAAAGGCAGTTTCAGCGTGCTGGCAAGTGAAGCGAATGTACACGCAACCTCCTCATTAACACTAATTTAGGAAACGTCACTGTCAGCAGCAGGGCAGATGTTGGTACATCAGCCTCGCTCAAGGGAGCTGCGTATTTTAACTATCCTCCCACGAGAGTGCTGGTTTGAGCCAAAAAGCCCGTATTCTGTCCCACGATCGTAACAGGAATGCTGCAATATCCTCCCACAGGCACTGCTGCCCGAGGGAGATGCTGTTCTTTATCTGACTGACCTTGGCACTGAACTGGTTCAGCTCTCCACTCTCATGTCCTGCAATGATGAACTCTCCCAGAGGGCCCCACACAGCACTAGTGATTTTAGAGTCACTGCAGGGAATTTTCATGTAAGGCTCGTTGTTCTCTGCAGGAAGGAAGGAAGGAGACAGACAGACAGACACAGTGGCACCGGCTCCAGCACTTCAACGCTTCCCCTTATTCCCTGGTGCAGACGCTGGCCCAGATTCCTCACCGATCTGGCTGGGGTCCCGGAGGTCAAAGAAGCTCACAAAACACTGATACCCCATCTGCTTGTCCGTGGAAAACATGATGATGTTTCCTCCAAAGTCAAAGCCACACGTCCTCACCGCTGAGCTGGTCTTCACCAGGGCGAGCTGCTTTCCTGAACACAGAGCAGAAACCGTCACTTCACTGGGTATTTTACTGCAAAATTAATGAAAACGAGCAGCTGAACAGCAGGGTCAGAGGGAGGATGAGAGCATCGGGTGTAGCTGACAAGCAAGTTTGGTGAGCTGCAAAGTCTGGCCAAAAGTTTTGACTACTTGGGTCACAGAGTGAGTAAATTCACTAAATATTCACTAGAAACCAGGCACATACAGAAACCCTCCCCTCCAGCAGCCTGAGCTCGGATTCAAACCTCTTCCAGAGGGGCAAACAGCCATGTTCATGTTATGTTATGCTGACACCACGTCCTCCAGGCTTAGCAGACTTCACAGCAGGACAGAGCCGTGACTCAAATGCAGCTACGTGGGGAGAGAAGAGTTTTACCTGTTTCACAGTCCCAGAGCCGACAGCTGTTATCCGCAGAGCCAGTGAGCACATGTCGTGTGTCCCCTAGGTCACCAGTTAGGGAATACCAGCACGTTTTCAGCCCCAAAAAGCTAGTTTCTAGGTACCCAGAGAATATTTATACACAAGATTAAAAAGCTGTATCACACAGAGACTGGGCAACATCCATTCCAAGACCAGCAATACTCCAGTAAAGACAAACACAGAGTCTGAGCGCTCCCATTACAAACCCCACAACTTTCCTCTTGAAATGTTAAAGAAAAAGGCTGCAGCTCTTGCATTAACACATTTTTGTCTCCACTACCTGCTGCCCACATAGGAGATGGAAGACCCTCTGCAACTCAAGACGCCTTCCCTGAGCTCCCAGGGCCACCACAGCAAAAGCAACGATGCACAAACAAGAGCAGACAGAGCAACACTGCGCATGTTACTTCAAACAACAGCCCAGAAAGAAAAACACCCAAAAAATGGAGTAAGGGAGAGACAGCAGAAGAGTTAAACACACTGTATCTCCCTTATAGAGGGAACAGCGCAGCAGTTGGGAGCAATCGGCTCAAGTGAATCACTGTAAAGAAAACATATGGGACAGACAAACTGGTTTCTGCGATCAAAGGATACAGTCTGCGTCCACGCACCAGACGGCTCCTGTGTGGCCGTTGTAGGTGCCGAGCCTCTCTCCATTCACGGAATACCACACGTTGACAATCTGGGAGAAGGAAATAAGCAAGCACCCCTCTTACCAAACGGATTAATTAACGGGACTGATGAAGAGCCGTTCAACTATCCCGGTGGGGGCTGGTTTTCACCCGGGGAAGGACGGGCAGGGCTCGCCGCACTCACGGGATCTTTGGCCACGGTGAAGAGCAGGTCTCCCTCCCGGTTGTACTTGATCTGCGTGATGGAGCGCTCATGGCCCTGCAGCAGGATCGGCTTCTGCGAAGGGAGGAGACGCCATTTAGTGCCTCGGGCGAGGCGCGGCCTCAGCGCCCAGACCGGGGCTCCCGGGCCACGGAGGAGTCGGGAGGCGGCAGTGTCAACTCCCCCCCGCACTCCCGGGGCCCAGGAGCCCCATCGCGGGGGCCCTGCGCCGCCCGAGCACCGGTCGCTACCCCCGGGCCCGCTCTCACCATGGCGGCAGCGCGGAGGCGAGAGGCCGGCGCGATCGCTTCCGGGTCAGAGGGTGCGCGCGGCGGAAATACGTCACCGCCGCTATGGCGGCCGTGGGTGAGCTTCCGGGGCTGCGGGGAGCGGGGCTCTCCCTGGGGAAGGGCAATGGCCACCGGCTGGGTCCCTGTGGGGCCTTCCCTGAGGGGAGAACATGGCCACAGGCGGCCGGGCCTGCGGTGGGGCGTCCCC